ATTCTCGAATTCGACCTCTAGAGATGTCGTGCTCTCGTTGATCTTCGTGAGTCATCATTTACTTTTTATCTTGCTTATGATGTATTGATGATCATCAAAGTTTGAGTCATGGCGTGTGATTACATCCTTCGTCCAATGTCTCCTCATGGCGCCATCGTATATTATGGTCCTAAACATCTATGCAGTACGTCCATCTTCTTCAGCACGGCTCCCAGTTGTTCACAAAGTCTTAGTTTGCTAATGTCCATGATGTCTCATGGAAACGAAGGGCGACAACAAGGTTTCCATTGATCTCGGTGTCATTAGTGCGGGCAAGGGGGACAACAAGAATGAAGTTGAGGTAGCAGTACCCACGGCTGAGACTGACATTAATTCAGTGTATGAAGATGCTATCCATGTTCTGTCCTCGAAACCACCCAAGGTGGATTCCAAGCCTGATCCAGCAACACAGCAAGAAGATTATTACAAGACGTTACAAACAAATGTATTACTGGTTTGGACTTTGAGCAGCGCAGTAAGTGATCACTAACTAGGTTCATATTGGAGACACTTTCATTGACCTTGTGGTTTTGCAGGTTCTCCTGGCTGCTTCTATAATGTGAATATTTTGAGAGGTTGCAGGTGTTACCACTCGCTAACACTTTCTAAATAGCAGAACGGCGACGAGTGGGACTGGAAGTGCAGCTGTGACTAGGTACATAGCATTCATTCTCTTCTTAGTCGTTGGACTTGCATGTAGTATGTAGAAGCTTTTGACGACACATCATCACTAGTACTGATAACTTTTGTTCTTTAGTCGTTCATTTCCTCAGCTCGACAACGTACATGCTCGTGCGTTTGTTTTCAGGAGTGATGATCTCTTGAAACCAGTGTGATACAATACGACTTGTTTAAAGACAATTATATGTTTCGTTGATATTGCAATATTGACATTCAGTGTCGTATTTTATATTTTTGCTATGCCTTGTCCTAGTAGTAAGTACCAACATGATTCAAACCAGGTCCGGTTGCTGAATTTCCGTTGACCACAAAAATTCATACTGGGTATTTCTCAATTGCAGAGTTCTTGTCATTGATTTCCAATCGTACACCCAGGTCACTGTCCCACAACTCCTTTGGTATTACGAGAACTCGAGAAATAGTCACGGTAATATGGATGACCAAGTCGTTGCCCCTGTGTCGAACTTAACATCCACCATAGTTTCCTTTGCACTCGATAAGAATGATTAACAATGGAATCTCAGTAGCAAATGGTGCTGTGGCATGCGGTATCTGCACGCACTGCGCCTTAAGAAACCTGGTGTGGATTGAAGCCGTAAGTGCATGATTTTGAATAACATTGTAATTGAAGCAATATTTGAACCCATAGTATAGACTTGTAAACCTAACATAAATGGGGGAATATGATGTTGCTTAACCAGTGGAACCTAATTTAACTATCATACCTTGCCAGTCGTAATGGTGCAAAGTTGTGACCCTTGTTAGGAGCTTTCATACGAATCTAGATTGGATGACCAGCGCTAACGGCATTGTTCACGATAAAGGCTTGAATAATCTTGTAACTCGAAACATAAATAAGGGGATATCAGAATCAGACCCTTCAGTCATTTTTCACGTAGAACCATGGCCCTGGATGTGCCAAAAGGCCGTAGAATCATGGCCAGCCAGTCCTCGGCCGGTCTATGTAGGATGGGTGCTGGCCAGTGCATTAGATTGGTCAGAATGGTCAAGGCTAGCCTTAATGTTACATATTGTAGACACAGGCTAGCCAGCAGTACTAGACTTAGGGTGGCCCTGGCCAGCTGTCCACCTACAGCCTGTACAATGGGTCCGGCCGGTTGGCACTAGAGAAACACACAATCTATATTATACCAAGCAATATACTCATTCTTATCAGTCAGTTACACATTTTAGAAAACATCCGGCCGGTTTTATACCTTAGATACTAGTGCCACTTGTTAGTGATGTAGAAACCACCCGGCTGGTCTATTTATTAGACACTACCATCCCGGCCAGATGTAGACTACATAGTGTAGAACAATGCTGGCCAGGCTGCCTTGTAAGTGATATATATTTACAGACTGTAGAAACCACCCGGCCGGTCTATTTCTTAGACAGTACTATCCTGGCCAGATGTAGACTACCTAGTAGATTTATGCTGGCCAGGCTGCCTTATAAGGACCTACACACTGGCCAGCCTTGCTTCTACATAGGCAGATGCAGACTGGCCGGTGCAAAGGTTCAGAGCTACAAACTGGCCAGCCTTGCCTTTACATAGGTATATACAAGCTGGCTGGTGCACTGTGTTCAAACCTACAGGCCAGCCAGCCTTGCTTCTACATAGGTAGGTGCAGACCGGCCGGTGCAAAGGTTCATTTACAGACTGTAGAAACCACCCGGCCGGTCTATTTCTTAGACAATACCATCCTGGCCAGATGTAGACTACCTAGGGTAGAACTATGCTGGCCATGCTGACTTGTAAGTGATATATATTTACAGCCTGCAATATAGACTGCATAGGGTAGAGCTATGCTGGCCGGGCTGCCTTGTAATTCAACGTAAATAGAGACAGTATACTACATCAAAGTATAAAACCACATCCATTGAAAGTCTTCTCAGCATCATCAACAAATCTTCCCCACATCAAGACCTCTTGATAAGCATAGGCTTGATGACCAGGTCTAATGGCTTGGTACCCCCCTTCTGTCCCATTCTTTCTCATGATACTTGAACCAGTTTATGGTCCAACCCATTTCATGTCTTACCAGACTCAATTCCTCTTGCCATCTACTCCATCTAGCCTTGGCCTTCAACCAGTTCACCCTGTAGACTTGATCAGAGTAAGTTTAGGGGACACCTAATTGAGATAAAATTTCCTCCTTACATTCATCCATCCAGGCATCTTCTTGACCTCTGCTGGCATTATTCACCCTCCAAAACCAAGCGAGTTTGTCTGACCCTTGTCCAAATCTGTTTTCTTCTGTTACCTCTTTGTCTATACTGAGCTCAGTAGGCAATATCAGGCAGTAAAGACTACCCAATGTGGCGTCGTCCATGCCTAGATGTTCCATTGCCAACATTGCCCTCTGATAACTTCTTACACACTTGTCAATTTTGAGCTGACATTGACAAGCTTCTTGCTTTGACCTGGTGCCAGCCCATGTAGAATCAGCACTTCGAAAATACTGACGATAGATAATCGCCTTATGACCAAGGGCCATACAGAGGCTTTCTAGGCAGTCATTTGCTTGGCCCTTTCGAAGTTCCAATTCCTCAGCTTGGAGGGGGCCCAGGCCAAGAGTCAGTGCATCATTGTGGGCCACTGAAGATGGCATCCAGATACCCATCTCTTCAGCTAGGATTTCTTCATCTAAATCCTCCGAGATTTCCCCATCTGAGACCTCTTCCCACTCATAGCCATCATTATCTGCATGGCAGAATCTAGGATCATCGGAATGTACTGTTGGGAGTCCAAGATCCATACTGGCAGTCATGGCATCAGCAGTTTCATGAAATTTAGCAATCCTAGCTGCCAATCTCTGTCGCTTCTCTTCTATAGAAGCTTTCTGAGCAGGGGTTGCATTGGTGGGAAGTTGTCGAATATCTGCTCTCAATCCATCCCTGAAACAACACTGTCAAGCTGTTCCTTCCATTCGTGTCAATTACGTACTGTAAATCCTCCAGATTGATGCCAGTAATGAGCCAAGATACTGTTCCTGGTTTTCCAGTGTCGGCCTTCTCAGACTCGGTTAATTTGAGTCAGATCTCTGCCATAGTTGGGGCTAGACACAAATCCTGATTAGACGTCTATACAACATTGCAGTTGGACAGAGTTCACCTACCTTTGTTGATCTGCAACTGATAGATGTCAAGATACTCCCCATGTTCTTCCATAGCCTTTTGCTCATTGATCTCCCATATCAAAATCTTCTCAGGGTCCAGAGACCGAGTGAGCTCATCAAAAGGGGTTTTTGTCTCGTCAACACCCTTGAGAGCTCGTTTATACTTTTTCAACAGAGTCTTCACTGGAAGCTCAAGTGTCAAACCCTGTTATCAAATCTATCAATTGAAGTGCTTACTTATTCCAACTAATTTTTTCCAGTTTGAGTCGCACATATGATCATCAAGAACTTCTTGACGGTGGGCTTGACTCATTGACCGAGCAGTTGGGGAGATCTTATTGAACGGTGCCCACAGGGTCTCCAAAATCTCCCCATCAACTTGTCCAGCCCCTTGAATGAAGTTGAGGCTGTACCTTGCAAAGCAAGCCAATTTGTGAGCGCTGAGGTGGAATTTTCCAACCGCAGGAATGATGTGCATATTTTCAGGCACAGACAAGCCTTTGCTATGGGCCACTCTCTGTAAAAAATTAATGCTCCACTGACACCCCCACATCATAGATAATGAGAGAGGAGTCTATACCAGTCGAACAATAATTCAATGCATTGCATATTGAATAATCAATGTTCATGTGTCTACAAATATCGTGAGCTTTGAAACATGCTGTCTTTGAGGACATACACAGACCTTTTCACCCTTCTGAAAATCGACTATGCTGTGTGGAACAAAGCATCCATGTCGGGCACAAGCAGTTGCTCCTACCCCTGTAGCTCGGAGATTGCTCCTGCTGATATTGGCTGCATTTACTGCTCGATGATTGCTACATGAAGAACGCTACATGGATTGTCAAGCAAGAAGGAAAAACTATAGACACAAGTTAACTCACCTCTTTACTTTCTACAGCCAATGATAGATGAGTCTGGTATTCTCGTTTTTTCACCATATACCCAAGCCTATCTGACAAACTAATATCCCACTGTGGCTTTTTCATGGTCATATGTTGAGCAGTAAAGTTACCGTCCACCACATATCTTTGTGAAACAAGCCAACTGTATAAACTTTGGGTAAGTATAAGGTCAAGTAATAAGGTCAAAAGATTAGACAAAAGCAAGCACCAATGATTGTCAAAGTGACTCCAACCGGCATGGTTCTGCATGCGGTCTTTAGAGAGCTGACCGGCCAATATAATCTCTGAATACACCGGCTGGCCTAATTCTACATTCTGTCCATACAGTGCTGGCCGGCTTGACCAGAACTCGAGCCACTTCGGCTGGAGTTCTTGTACACTGTGCAGAGCAGGGCTGGCTGGTGTCCTGCATGATTTGGGAATCATGCATGGACATGACTACTAGGTATCCCCCTAAAAGATAAAGTCTGTTAGCTTAGTCCTCAGACTAGTCAACCCATACCTTGGTATCAAACCTTGGTCCAATAGTTTCAGTTTTCCCTCAGTGATTCATGAATCCACCACGTTTTGAAGAAAAGTCATATGTGAGATGGGAATCACATAATGACCTAGTTGATATGAGAAGCAAAATGAAGGTTAAGGTATTGCCTTTCCTTTGGCTTATTCACTTTGGCTAGAGAAACCCATAGAGAAAAGTTCAAAGCCTAACAAAAACCTATCTAAAAAGCCCGCGTATTGTGTACTATTATTTGTTCCATTATTTCTGAGTTGTTTTCTCTAGTGTTTCTTTACTTTACTTTTCTATTAGGATGCTCTGACTAATCAGATGCTTCATAAAATTGTACCTACAGGGTATGATGTCATAATGATGTCATAGGACTTCACCTACACTCCTGCAGGTATTTTGGTTGAAAGATATGATATCATAGTGATGTCATAATGATGTCATGTTCCATGGAATTTGCTAGAACATTCCAATGACTCATAATGACTCATAGTGACTCATAGTGACTCAGAATGATGTCATTATCCCACCATGAATATTCTGGAATGTTCTTTTGCACCTGCTAGAACATTCTGCTCCAGTTTTTGGAATATTCTTCTCACATTCTGAAGTCATTACATCACCTTTTTACTTACATAATATTCCCACACAAAATGTATATAAGGAGAGCCCATTCTCCCCCCCAAAAAAATAGATCTCCCACTTGTTGCATTCAAGAACTCCCACTTGAGCAAATTGAACTCTCACCTAAGAAGCTTCAGTCTGAACAAATTGCTGCTTACAAAGCCCATTTCCTTTGTAAGAACTGTCCAGGCAAGTGCAGGGAAAGTGTTTCCCTTGAGATTACGTAAGTTTCTCGCGATAGAAACCCAGTTTTGTGAGACCAGTGTTCTCACCACGTAGTGTTTACTGACCAACACGAGCTTTGGTCATTGTTGTTATTTGTCATTGTTTTTTTCTATTTGTCATTTGTTGTTATTTGTGAGACCAGCGTTCTCACCAGGTATTTGTATATTGACCAACACGAGCTTTGGTCAACGTAGTCACATTTGAGACCAGCTTCTCAACAGTTAATCATACATTCAGGAAACCAGTTCAAGTGTCTAGACGGTATATCCTAGACAACCCCATAGTTTCAATCAGAGATAATAAAGCTCCGGCTAAGTTAATCTGACTGATTGGTTTAGCGAGCCTCCCAAGAACTCACACGTTATCTACCATGAAAGAAGAAAAGTCGTAGACTGTGTTAATCGAGGACTGGCAAGAAGTCTTACCCAGTGTAATTGTGGTGTCATTACATTCTTACACATATTTATATAAGACCCTCGGTTATTAAGACACCGGTCAGTATAAGAGTTGGGTAGAACAGAGCCAGCCCTCCCACAACACAAACTAAGAATAAATGACTTACCTATCGTACTTGTCTTGCCAATCAGCAGGTAAGTTGATGCCAGGCTGAGGACAAGCAGGGCAAAACCAAGCCAGATCACCCTCACCAGGTTTCTTCTTGACATCATGACCAAATCCAAACCATTTTCAGCTCATTAAGTCTCTCCACAGCTGAGAGACTCTCATAAGTTCTCGATATCTATTCTGAAAATATTTGATACAGTCAGTTTAAGTGTTGACAAGAATACTTATATGATCTCACAGGAACAGTATCTGGGAAAGAGTTGTTGGTCATCCGACGAATTTTCTCAAAGAAGCTTGATGCTGAAGTCTTGCATTCCAGTGCGTCAATTAGAAAATGATCTAAGACTTCGAAAGTGAAGGCAGTTCGTGGTCGAGTGGTGCTTGCTGGTAATAATCCAGCCTTCAGCAATTGCACATGCTGCTGATGCTTGGTCCCAGGACAGCCGCACCAAACAACATTGTGGACAAACACTCCAGTTGAATGTATGATAGTCAAGGTGGTCGGTATAGCCTGACCATTAATTGTCTCCGTTGGTCGAAAACCAGCCTCTGTATCCAGTGGCATATCCTCCCATGTTTGTGGGTCGTCAGAAAATGGACATGGTTGTCCCCCATGGCCCATATGCCAGATGAAACCCAATTCTTCAAGTGACTTGTCTTGGAAGCATTTTCCAATCCACTCTTGAACCTTTTGGAAGGGCAAAAACTGGTGAGCTTTGACAACGCAAGAATGACAGAACATCTGATCTCCACTGCAAGTCAAACATCGGAATCTCCCTTCATCAATCTGACAAGATTGGCACTCAGAGACATCAGAGGGCTTCTCCAAGTCAAGGAGCATATCTAGGTACAAGTCGCGGAAAGGCAGATATTCTTTGATGAAGTCATTTTGAGTCTGGTACCATTGATCTCTATTGAGTACTAAATTAAATGATAATCAATCAATATGCTCGCCTTGGTTTTTCTTTGTTGGTTCTCTGCATAAAAGTCTCCGAGGACTTCTCTATCAAAATCCTCATGAGTGCTTTGCAACCCTTGAGCATCCTCTCTAACCCATTTACGAGGGCTGGAGGATGGAGATGGTGTCGGACCAGTCTCGTAGAGGCTGTCAGCACATGATTCCACCCAGGTTGGCTTCCTTTTCTTCCCGATGACTTGTTGATGAGAGACGTAGGCAACATCGAGGTCCTTGCCTTTGGATAATCGCCCTCTTCCTTTGAAGGAAAATGTAGCTGCCTTCAGACAAGTTTTTTTCTGTGGAGACATACTGTGACTTGTGAGGCAAGAATAATAGATGCCCTTAACATTCCATTTTTGATAGGCAAGATCATTAATAATAATCACTCGGCTATATCAGCTAATCTAGTAGGTATACTTTGAAACACCTGAATTTTCCCCTCTCTCCCCCCCCCCCCCCCAGAACCTCTCTTCCCTTACCAGAGTCTGTCATTATCCTTGCCCCACCATCTTCAAAAAAAAGGCTTGCATTGGAAAGGCAGGTCTTAATACCTCAACTCTGGAGTGGATTTTATCCTTCATAAAATGGGCAATGACAAGTCTTTCACCTGGCCCCCATGGACCAATAGAATGTTGCAGAACCTTCCCTGAAATAAAGACCATTGTCCCAGGGTTATAATCCAGCTCAGCCCCAACATCCGCCAAAGTTAACTTGGCCTCATGGCCACTTCCTAAACTGATCAGAAGATCAAAAAGGGAGGGCGAGCCACCAGCGTCTCGGTGTGATAAAGTGGTCCGATTTGCAATTATTTCCAATCCTGAGAAGATTGAGGGCCAATGAGAGATGGGCACTGACACTGGTCTACCAGAACTTTGAAGTTCCTGCACAACCCGAGTAATTGCCAAGGCACCTGCTTCAAATAGATCTGGAGCCAATGCAGCGGTAATGGCATTCCAGAAGAATTAGTAGCTGATAAGGTGGCTAGCCACTCTTGGACCTCTGCAGACTTGTAAGAAGCTGAGGTCACCATTGGGTCCTGCAGTCTCTGCAAAAAGAGTCAAAAGCAGCTCAATGCCCAGTTAATTCAGCCTATACCTCATGCCTTTGCATAAAATATGCTGGTGATACTGTGATTCTACCCATTCCAAATTCACCACCTTCCTCCGGCACAACAAAGCCCTGAGATCGCCAAGATTGATCCTGGGCTGAGGACGTAATTGTTTGAAGAAGTAATTCATGTAAACCCTTAGTGGCTGAGTTAACATATTCCTAATCTAATTGTCAATTTCTGATCAGAATATCCATGCAAGAATGAACCTACAATCCTAGAAGGCGACAGAATATGTGGCAAGTAAATTGTTAAAATTTTACCTTGCCTGTCCACAATGGTAGCTGGGACTGAAATTTTACCAATGTTAGCCGGTGCAAAATACTTTTGTTGCTGATCAGTATTCAAGACTGAACCATCTCGATTTGGTGGGGAGACCTTGGCCATTTCGGCAAATCTGTCAGCATCCCAATCCACATAATCTGACATCTGAATTTGAAACCGAGTGATACCTTGGAAAGTAAATCAACTCACAAGGGTTTACCATGGCATGGGCAATTGTGAGTGCGGCCTGATTGATCTCATATTCTGAGATTGACCCAGAGGCATTGAAACAAACGTCAGCTGTTGCTAAGCAACTGTTGAGCTCAAATCCAATTCTCAACCTTGACCAAAACAGTTGAGTTTACAGCCAATCAACAAAGTTCCTGAACGTAAACACACCTTGCTTTGTGTAGAAGATGAGTCTGCAATATCCCCCCTTTGAAGATCCCTGTTGCTGATGAATCCCTCATAATGGCCTGGATCCTTGTGGTCAGAGCCACTCTAAGTTTGGTCGATTCACTCATTAGTTGGTCCATGGGGAGCAAGGAAATTTTTCAACCAGATCCCACGCTCCAACTTTGCTTGAATCAACGATCATTTAATTTCACTTAAAATAGTTATATAAATGATGATGATTACATGCTCAAATTTTGATATATGAACAGAATATACTGATGGAATGATGATAATCTCGCGCTCAAATTTGGATATATGAACGGAATCTACTGATGAAAGAAACACTTAATTGAAGCCTGGCCCAAATTGGCAATTGACCCACTGTTGTGCTACTAGGTAGTAAGTTTGAGGTCTTTATAAGTCTTACCTTGTTGAGACCTTGTCTTCACTAGTAGGAGTTGCTGACAAGTAGCATGTACTTTGATTGCCCAGACCCATAATGCTAAGTAAAACAAAATTTAGCCAGCTTGTGCATCGGTATGGGGAACACTATCTATCGAAGAAAACATATAGATAATGTAGAATGGTTGGTTTACCAATGAGAACCTGATATTTTCAATATCATGTTGGCTGCAAGTATTGAAAGCACCATGTTCTCATTGGCCACCAACCTGTGGCATGGTTGACCTACCAGGCATGGTTAACCAACCAGGTTGGCATGGCCGCCAGAACACTACCTATCAAAGAAAACATATAGATAGGACATATAGATAGGTCCACCAACCTGGCAAATACTGACCAACCTATCTGCGCTAGACCACCACCATCTGTGGTCACTATACCACAACCACCTGGTTCACCAACCTGGCAAATACTGACCAACCTATCTGTGCTGGACCGCCACCATCTGTGGTTGCTGGACCACAACCACCTGGTCCACCAACCTGGCAAATACTGACTAACCTATCTATATGTTTTCTTTGATAGGTAGTGGTCTGCAACCTGGCAAATACTGACCAACCTATCTGCGCTGGACCACCACCATCTGTGGTCGCTGGACCACAACCACCTGTTGATGAATGTGTTGGTGCAGGATAAGACTTCTTGCCAGTCCTTATGCCTGGTTGGGTTACCTTTGACAGAACAGTTATCATGTACTCTTCCCATGAGCTTCCATTATCTGGCAGGGACTCTCAAACCATAAGAGTTGAGGTTTACCATGCCTGGTTGGTTTACCATGCCCAGTTGGTTTACCATGCCCAGTTGGTTCACCACACCAGGTTGGTTTACCATGCCCGGTTGGTTTACCTGTACTCTTCCCACGAGCTTCCATTATCTGGCAGGGACTCTCAAACCAGAAGAGTTGAGGTTTACCATGCCCGGTTGGTTTACCACACCAGGTTGGTCTACCTGTACTCTTCCCATGAGCTTCCATTATCTGGCAGGGACTCTCAAACCATAAGAGTTAAGGGTTTACCTTTGACAGAACCGTTATCATGTACTGTTCCTGAGAGCTTCCATTATCTGGCAGGGACTCTCAAACCAGAAGAGTTGAGGTTTACCATGCCTGGCTGGTTAGCCATGCCAGGTTGGTTTACCTTTTTGACGGAACAGTTATTATGTACTCTTCCAGGTACTCTTCCTGCAAGCTTCCATTATCTGGCAGGGACTCTCAAACTGTAAGAGTTAAGGTCACTTGATATTTTCAATACTGGCGGCCCACATGATATTGCAAATATCAGGGTCTTAAGGACTGGCAAGAAGTCTTATCAGTTAACCAACCTGGCATGGCCGCCAGTATTGAAAGTATGGTGTTCTCATTGGCCACCAACCTGGCATGTGTCTGTTGACCATCAGTATTCAACCTGGTGAGGCGCACAAAACTTGTTTTATACATGGGCATGGCTATATTATACATGGCATGGTTAACTAACTCAGATATAGAACATTATCTATCTAAGAAAACATATAGATGATGGCACCTATGAGGTTAACCAACCTGGTGTGGTTAACTCTGTTGGACTTGATGTTGGCTTGGGCAACTTTGCTTACTAATCTACACACGGTCACGTGACTTTTCAGCCGGCCAAAAATTAAGTTTTGAAGCAAGGCCAAGTTTCAATTACAAACGACGAAAATTACTACAATTATTCAAATTATTCAAGTAAAAATTACAAAAGGGGAGCTGCAAGACTTCAATGAGGGGGCCCTCCTCACCAAAGCCTCACAGTCCAAGTGAAATTATAGGTAATAAATATAAATATACTACTGTCCTGTGTAGATGTTAGAGCGAAATTTGAAAGAAGACGGCTACTTAACTGGAGAGTGAGAGCGCTTGGTGCATGGACGAAGGTCTTGGTCTGTAGAACAAAGCAGATCAGTTAAGGTCATGAGTATCAGAGCGCTTACCATAATGAAGGAGCCGCTGGCAAGCAGCAGGGACTTGATCCCAGTCTCACAGAGCAGGAGGAAGAAGGGATGTCCTATAGAATGAAGCATATGAGTTGAGGTCATGAGTGAGAGAGTGCTTACCATTAGGAACCGCTAACAAGAGGCAAGGACTTGATCCCCCAGTCCCAAAGAGCAGGAGCCACTGACAAGTGGCATGCACTGCGCTATCCCCAGTCCCAAAGAGCAGGAGCCACTGACAAATGGCATGCACTGCGCTATCCTAAGTACCATAATGCTAAGTAGAACGGATATCAGCAAGCGGATGTGAGAAAAGAAGTACTTACCTTCCGGAAACTCCAGAGAAAGATAGTACATGTAGATGAAAACAATGAGTATGTAGGCGCACCAAAAAATCGGGACTTACAATTTTGGAAGGGCGACTGTCAGGACAAGCGGCATACACTGCGCTATTCCAAGTAACATAATGCTAAGTAGAACGGATATTAGCAAGCGGATGAGAGCAAGGAAATACTTACCTTCAGGGAACTCAAGAGAAAGATAGTACATGTAAATAAAAACAATTAGTAAGTAGGCGCACCAAAAATCAAGACTTACAATTTTGGAAGGGCGACTATAAGGTAGTAGTACCTTTGAATTCTTGCAGCTGCAGCCTGCAAGAACCCAAAGGAGTACACCAGAAGTCACCCCGGAATAACAGTGCACAAAGATACAAAGAGATGAAGTATGGTTGATGACAAGAGGATGGTGGAAGGACAGATTGAACCGTGAGAAGTGAAATTGAACTTCATATACGAAGGTCAGTTTGTCATTGTTTGTTGACACAACAAACACAAAAGCGCTGACAAACAATCAGCAATGTTATTGACTTATGGATTTGTGACATGCAAATTCCACAAATTCAACATATGACGCAGACTCACTGTGTCACATGTTGACTTTGTGGAATTAACAATTAACAATGTGACGTGTTGACTTTGTGGCAAGTTGAGATTGGCGTTGGTTGATTTTGATAAATAGATACAAACAAACGTGTTGCACAAACAGACGCGTTGCACGCACCACAGTGTCACGTGTCCAAACCACAAATTCAACACGTCACATTGTGTCACATGTTGAATTTTGTGGAATTAACAATGTGACGTGTTGAATTTGTGGTTTGGACACGTGACACTGTGGCGCGTGCAATGCGTCTGTTTGTGCAATGCGTTTGTTTGTATCTATTTATCAAAATCAACCAACGCCAATCTCAACTTGGTTCATTTCTTTCTAAGTACGCTGAGCGCTCTCTCTTTACCTTTGTTTACACTATCCTGGTAAGTCTTGTTTACTTTGTTTACTTTGTGTCATTTACTAATTATAAACCATCTATTATTAATAGCCCGATCATGGTCAAATCCAAGCAAACCTGCAAGAAGTCCACTGGTGGCACCGCGCCACGAATCGTGTTGCCGTTGCCGTCAACCACCCAAGTGGTTCCTGTGCCGAAGGAGATCGAGGTTTGTGAGCCGTTCCACCACAATGAGGTATGTGGATTGCTGCATGCTTGTTTGCACTAACCTGTGTTTTCTTTTGCAGTTCTGTCTCATTTGCAGGGACGGTTCTGTTGGAGACAATCACCTCTTCCTCTGCAACACTTGCCCACGCGTGATGTGCTCACGCTGCATGGATATTCCCCCTGCCAGTGCACACACGATCGCCAAAGACAATGTCACATTTGTCTGCATCTCTTGCCATGTGGCAGGACAATACCATGGACGTGCGTCTTACTCGCCCTATTTTGTAAGTTATTGTCCTTTTCTCTCTAACCAGCATTAACTTGAAG